GTAATAATACATTTACATATTACTATAATAACAGATAACCGATTTTTGTATCGAATTTTTATAAAAACTTTAAAAACAATTGTCACCGCCATTCTTTTCGCCGGGGACTGTAGTTGGTAACGGTACAGGACTCTCATCGACAAGTGCGAAACCTTTCCCAATGCCAGTACGAAACCAACAAGGTAGTCGATGACAGATCTATACACTGACACACCGTTTGCCAAATAAATGGATACACTTATCTTGAAGTCTTGCTTCCAAGTATTGGTAGAGTGAGGGTGTATCCGTCCTCTCCCAAAATGCTACATATTTTTACAAACAACAGGTTACGCTATAATTGATGATAAAATATTAACACCATCGCAGTTTGTCTTACCAGGGGATTTGAGTGCTTTAAGGCATTCGGATGACAACTGCATTTTTATGAAGACAGAAGACGGTTGCAATAAAACTATGATTAAATTAGTTAATTTAGTCACATGATTCAGATCGTTACCAATGGTAACAAAGAAAAAAATTTTTTTGTACGCTCACATCGCGCAAAAAAGTGCGGACTGTCCTCCAAGTCCGGATGTTTACATCTTACGGATATGGATATTAGCGTAACCTCAGAATCAAGGGGAGGTCTCTTTATTTGGATTGGGGTCTTTTTACAAATGAGTCATATAACTTTTTGAGCTAAAGTCCATTTACTATGTTACTTTCATTTCCTTCCTAGTAACACCATAGCCATCCTTTTCTCGATCATAAACTTTCCGATCCTAATATTATTTTACATAATGACGACTTGTCACGTAAAAGCAACATTCGTTTTATTCACTTGCATCGCTATGATCCATCATGGATCAACACACACGCTGTACAGCTAGTTATTCTTTGGAGCGATCGTTGGAATGCTTCGTCTTGTAGAACTTTTTTTTTGCGCCATGACTATGCCACTAATTATTGAACATGTGACGTTAATTATTTTACCGTTACTAATAAAACTCCACATTAAGCAAGTCTATATTATTAGGTAATAACAAGGAATAGGCTCCCCGCGTCTGCCTAAGCCGACTCCTTTTTTGTAAGATATCGAAGAACATTGCGAGCACCATTAATACGTGTATCTTTATCAAGGTTTGTTTTGTATTGGGGAAAACATACCACCTTGAATCCACCTAGCTTTTTATGAATATAACCACAGACTACTTGACACCGGGTACCTTAAGGATCAGATGCTGTTGAGATAATGTGACCATGTACAAATGGCTCGAGCAATGTTGGAACCAATGCGTCGTTGTCCATGTCGGACCATTCTTTGCATGTGAAATTTGGGTAGTAATATTATACAATAATTTTTACAAAGCCATTTATAATTTGGCCAGCTTATAATGACAATCATTCACAGGACAACAGATCCTCTTGTGAATGCATAACATAACGCGACGACTTTCGGTAATAATAATAATAAAGAAAGCGAATAACCCAAAAACAAGCCTTTTTCTCATAGACACAATCCAAACCAAAACGCGGCTTCTGTTTCATTTTAAAGGTTGTCATGAGTGTGGTGAGCATCCCTTTTCCAACTACAAGGGAATGGTGTTTACTTTTCTCAAGCCCTCCATAGAACAACGAAATGCTTATATTATCACCATTATTAAATAATAGTAATGCTCTGCAGATGCTTCTATCATGGCTACTTGAATAAAATATACAGCTGCTTTATGTTACGCCGTCAAATTTGTTTAATATGTGAAACACGTGTCAACTACAGCAATGACTGTTACATATCTTACGCTGGAGAATAATTATCCTATTCCAACGGGTTTATTCCGTACGTCAGCCGAGTCATAGGGTGTGTCGAAAATACCAAGAATGCGTGGACGTAAAAGGATTCTCGATCATCATCTGTATCTGTGTTTGTCGTAAAACTAACACTTTTCTGGGGTTTCTCGTTATTGGTGGCTGAGAAAATCTCGACATTATCTGAGATGGAAGTAAGAACGGGTGAAATATGATAATAGGCAAACAAATAAAGATAAGGCAGCGATGGAAAAAATGAATACTAAGTTTGACTCTGAAGTCTGATAATAGGCTGCTGGATGCGAAGTATCTGAATTGATGTCACTGCGGTTGATTATCATGCGGGTGGGGAACTGTTGCTGTAGTTGATGCTGCTGTGAAACCATGATTGATGTTCAATAATGATTGATGCTATTAACAGTTACTGTGAAACCATGATTGATGTTCAATAATGATTGATGCTATTAACAGTTACTGTGAAACCATGATTGAGGGAGTTGCGTTTTTTAATGTCTACACCTACGATTGAACGCTAAAGGTGTACCTTCGACAAATGTGAAACCATGATTGATGCTCATTACCATGGCTGGTAAACCATTGTAAGGTATACTAAACCATTGCCGGTTTTTTCCCATCGCTGTGAAACTGATGTTCAGGGGGTAATTTATTGTATGCAAATTAGCAAATGCAACAATCGACTAGTTAATATTAATTAATGTAAAAATTTATTTTGTTTATATATATAGCTCTTACAAACACGAAAATCTCTTAATTAAAAAATCAAAGACTTGGTACTCTCTCTTTCTCCTTGCTATGATGAGCGAACCGAATAATATGAACGACGATTATATCGAACATTATAACAGCATCTGTCAATCGACTTACCCGGAGAACTTTAATTTTGAAGACAACAATCTTCCAATTTACATGCCCGTTAATTTTCAATCCCAATCTCATATTCAAGATTTCCTCCCCCCTGCTACCTCCTCTCTCTCCAATAATGTCGATGAAATGTCTATGAATAATATGGACTACGGAGATACCGGAACTTATGCAGGCGATTATACATTGTATCAAGACAACCCCTCAGAATATGGTAACGTTGACGCAATGGATAAACAATTGAATCTACCGAGCCACGATCAAGTCGAAAACAGTTCTTGTCCGCTTCCAGTATCTTTTCGGACAGTCTGCGGCCCCTCCGTCCCTCATTGTGATACGACGAACGACAGTCCAGCAGATAATAATTTTCAACATCTCAACAATACATGCATTTCATATATTCTTATACAGGGGCCCACAAGCCATGAATACGTTATTATGAGAGAAGAGCGGACTCATTCAGTGTTAGGCAGAGTGTCTGCTGCTACTAGTATTGGCGAAATGTTAGCTTTAACTCGAATGTGAGAAAGAAAATTAAGGATCGTTTGTCCCCGTAGATGACAATTATGCATGTCTTTCTTAGTATTAAAGTAACAAGTCTTCTTGTGATTGGAAGGTATCAGATCAATATATACTGTATATGTTATAAGTCATTACCAATATTTTATTAAATTGACTTTGAACATGTAAAGTCAGTTATTCGTTTTCACGTTTATGCTTTAGCAGAACTCCGCTACCTACCGTACTTCTTGACCAACCCCCTAGTGGTCTCACAAATGTTTACACTTTTTAATAATACCTCTCATGTAGTACGTTTCACTCTCTTCGATTGCTTATGGCATCACTGTTGTATCACTATACTACCTTTAATATAAATTGACATTGGATCTGTTTTTTCTTAATCACTCTGTTGTCCTTCGCAGACTATTTATGATTACCACAAGTATCAAGCTAAAAACGGTTAAGCCCACGAAATGATAAATTTTCTATCACATCCATTATTAATAGCGGAATTGGTTATTCTGTTGCTATTATTATTAAAAGACGACTACCATTAGCTTCGTAAAGACGTTATTTTTCAACTGTTTACTTCAATTTACAACAGCTCTAAAACTACCACATGAATTTTAATTGTTTAATATGAATATTGTCGAAGAATAATACAAGTGATTAGATGAGGAAAATAAACCAAATTGTCACCTAATTACTCTAATAAAACTGCATTGACTAAGAAGCAACAATGTAATCACCTTCACTGTTGCTGATAAAGAGACACATGACCAATGACGCATATACTGTATGTCAACAAAGAAAAAAACTTTTTACTACAAGCTTTTCCTCAGAGACATGTTATTTATACATTAATACTGAATATCAATTAATGTTTATAAAAGATTAGATATTGATTATGAGGCAATATTTTTTATTTACTGTAAAGCAAGAATAGCTTAGAAGCGCACAAACTAATTTACTAAGATTACCCAATAGTTTATCTTATTACCATAATTACCTCCGTTAATCTCCTTGGCATTTCATTCATTTGGGTTAATATCTGGGCTACTAGACGGCCGATCCACAATTTTGGCATTTTGTAGAGAAGTTCCATGGGTTTCTTATGCTTCGTATCGCTACAACAATGCCATTTGTATAATCAAAGAGATTTTTCAGTTAAAATTTTACATCGTTACTTTTTGCATGAACTGTACAGTAAAATCATAAGTATCTGAACGATTGTCCTGATAAAGTGAAGAAAATTTCATTAAACACATGATCAAATGAGTATAATCACATTCGAATCTATGAGTTGAGAAAAACTGTGCATCTTCTTTGCCATCGTCACAATTTCTTGCTTTGCCCGTGTTTCTATCTTTCTGCGGTACTCGAGTCCCTGTTTCAACCCGATAAGCGGCTATGGACTTTCCGCTTAGCGCTATTTCCCAAAATTTCACTTTGGTCAAAGAAACGATTTCATATCGTTTCTCAAGGAAAAGCTCCATTTTTTGATATAAAAGTTGCTATAATCCAGGACTCCTTAAAAGTATTAGTATTTTTTTGCAAATCTATAAAAGTAATGGTATTAGGTATTATGTTCTACCTAATGAATGGAAATTTTGGCGCTCGGATACTTATGACTGCTACTATATTTATTTAAAAAAAAAACTCGTCTATTGTCGTTTGTTTCATATAATGATCTGCATTAACACATTTGAATGATTCTTTTTGCTGCTTGCAGCGTCGCAGCAGTGTACAATCGGTAATTCAATATTACCATTAACTTCGCTATCGTCAACATGCACATCTGATGGGTTTTTGTATGTTTCAACAAGTTCATCAAATGGCGACAAAGACAAACTGCTATTATTAACAAAGATGCTAAATACTAATTTGTTTTGCCTGTAAGTTAACATTTCTATCACGAATAATCCCTCATCCATAATCAGACATAAGCGTACAATAACGTCTACATCACTACGTGGCATTCAGTTAAAGGTTTTTTCAAGGCATAACAACGCTATTAATATGCAACACTTTCACCAAGCTCACGAATAAGGCATGATGTGTATGTAAGTGGATTTACCAGTTCATTTTCTTCGCTTTTAGAGAAGACATTGTAGTCACTGAGATATTGACCTAACTTTGTTGGAAAAAAAGTAAAGCATTGATTAATATATTATAATGAAAAGTGGTAGACTATACTGCATTTGGACAACAACATGGAATACAACAGATTGTTGAAAAACTAATTAATAAAATATTTATAACAATGTATATTGACATGAAGGACAAAACTTGAAATCAATACACTATTTGGAAACTCCCTCCTCAAAAAAACTTGTCATTTAATATTAGCATTATGACAAGCATACATTAATTACGTGTATCCTAAATCTTCTTTTTCAGTTCGAGTTAAAGTTAACACTTCCCAAAGCTAGCATCAACTGATACACTGCTTAACACCGATTGAATTCGCACTTCTCATATTCGGATCGTTGAATACGTTAGAGTTGTTAGTGGGGATGTACAAATATGCTGTTAGAGATATAAGGAGCGGTTACGTGGCTATTATTGTTTTTTATGACCTACGATAGTCGATTCACAGAAGTATTACATCGCTTTAAATTTCACATATTTAGCGCCGTATTCTGACAACCAATATGCACAAATCTGCTGTTAGAGATGTAAGGAGTGCGCGCGGATGTTTACGTGTCAGCTGTTTTATTGGGTCCGGTTAGCTATTTATAACGTGCATGTATGCATCAACGTATATGCATATCGCAACAAGAATGTCTTTGTTTTTTTTTTTGTTTCATGAACACGGCGATCACTACATGGAAAGAGAGAAGATTTTTACTACATTGCTCTGAGTTCTGTGGTGTCACTCTATGAGGTTATCGAACTGCGGGCTGCGATTCAGAATCCTGATATTGTCCGTGGTATTCTTTACACAGTTAACGTCTGCATAAAATTATATCACGCGATTAATTCCGTAATAACGTGAATATGCATTGAAGGTATGCAAATAAATTTACAGGCGTCAGCGTAAAATATCTGATAATCGCTGTTCATATTATTTGGTTCGCTTATTATAGTTACTATTGTGTTGTCACAGACGGTGTATATTTGTCATTATCGCCATCCCCTAAGTACTTTAGTGATTGTCTTCGTTATTGATAGTTCTCAGTAATAATAAAAATTTTGTTTTATTTGTTGATGTCCTAAAGCATCGATATGGAAAGACAACAAGGTAGAAAGCAATAAACTGACATTTTATTGTTGAAAAGCTAATCTAATAAAACGGAAACAACGGGTATTGATATAAAATTTTCTCCCACAAAAAACGACAATAAACTGGCTTATAAAATACTGATAACTACTTATAACATGGGTATTGATATAAAACTTCCCTCCACAAAAAACCCTTGTTCTTTCTTACACTCGACTTCCAGCTAACATTTTGTCAAAGTCAGCAGCTGTCATCACTGACTGAGTTTTCTCCACTTTTGTAACCAGATATTGGAGACTTGTGTGCTCATTTATTACGTTAGAGCTGGGCATTGGCATAAGAATATATGAAATAGATCGATTGCCTGTCGGACCTTTGAACGAGCCACACGTTGGACAAGAGCTATTCGTGAAGGTGTTAACGCGAACCGGTTGGTAATGAGAGACTGGGGGATATAATGTTGTACGATTTCTAATATTTCCGTCGTGCACAGTATTCGTCGATATCACATCGACATTACTATGGAGAGAAAAAGGGGAAGCAGCAGAAGGATGAAAATCTTGTTGGGTTTGTAAATAAATAGCTCTTTGATTAGAATCGAAATCCTCCAATTGACCGATGTTATATGGTCCAACATAATTGTTCATATTATCAGGTCCGCTCATCGTATCAAATGTCATTAGTGAGCAGTAAAGAAAATTGGAGGTAATTTATACGTGTCCCAGTTGTTTTTTATTCGATCTTCGACCCGCATATTTGAAAGCTTGTCAGAAATTTTGTCCCCATACGTCATTAGTTACATTGCGTATGTCACAATGCTGTATATATAAGTCGAACGGGGGTGCATATAAGTTTGTCAGCATTACTTCATATAGGTGCATAAGGTTAAAACAACGAGTATGTCTACGCCCAATATTTTGAGTAAATATTTGTCTAGACACCTACGATAGACTATCTCGCTTATTAAATACAAGAGTTTAACCAACTGCTCTTGATAGTTGAAGACTGAAAGTATGAAATGACAGAACAACAGAAAAGAGAAATGTAGTTATCACCATATGAATCTGTTATAAATAACAACAGCAAGCGCATATTGGACGAGCTACTCATACGTCAAACGTAAATGGGATTTTAAACAGTGGACGATTGCTTGTTGCAGCATTGGCCATCAGCGGTCAGGTAATTAAAAGAGAAGACTGCATTAAATAAAAATAGCTCTTTCGGTGTTGTACAAAATTACAAATGGGTCAATATTAATAGAATGTATAGTAATAGTATATGATTAAATAAATTTATATAGTTTATTATTATGTTTATAATGTAGTAGTATATTCGGTGTGTTCAACAAAGACCGCAACGTTGATCATTCAAACTTTACCGAATGTAAACCCTACGACTTTGAATTAGTAAATTTTCAAAACGCATTAACACTCGTATTCATCGTCAAAGGAAATTGTGAAGGTCATACTACATTGATATCACCACCCGTTTGAAAGAGAACAGGCAATTAGTAACTACTCGACCAGCATTTGGTGATATGCCATTGTTGGATATCCGATGAATTGCAAATAGTATTTCCCAAAGCACACACCGAAATCCCACATATGTGTGTGTTTTATTTACTACCAACTTTGCCGTCAATTCGGGAGAGAAACGGGTTGCAAGGTTTTAAGTACCTTGACATTTTTCCTTTTATTTGTTTTTCTTTGCGACTTTCGAACGGCGCTTGGGATCATTATCTTTTTTGCAAAATGCAGTTCTCGTCCAAAAGGCTGAGGCCGGAAGCCAGAAGACCTCGCCCATAAGTAATGCAGACAAATTAGCATCAAGATTCCTTGAAAGCATACCAGTTTACCAAATCCCGAAGCACCCAAACGTTATGATATACTTTTTTACTTCCAAGTTGGTGATACTTTTAGAATATCAAAAGACCATGCTAATGCTAATTTATTTTATTTAGTATTTTGCGTATGGCCATATGCGGTATGTTTATGAAGAGTGGGCAATAATGTCACACGATGTGTGGGAGTATTTAAAATGCGATTAAAATTCTCCCACTAAGTAAAAATGTGAACATTATCATGTAGAAATTTAATCAAAGTTGACTTGGGGCATCGAAATCATGTCTTTGTAACAGATCAACTAAAAATTATGCAACCAAGTGCAACCCCTTACTTTTATGCATATAAAAACTTTTCAAAAAACGCGATTATACGCGGGTGATTAGGCAGCCGTTATGCATACTGCATAACGGATTGGTGTGGCCTCCACCCTAAGCGGTCTGCGTGCATTTTTCCCACTCATAAAACTCCATATCGCCCCGTCAACAACGTTCTCTTGGCTTCTTCACGGCTTAATTGAAGAATTGTAGTTAAATAACCATAGTTAATAAATATCAGTCTTAACACTGTCATTTCTCTCCTCTATTCAAAGGGTGCTCGATTTCTTTCACTTTATTTCGAAACAAAACACATTCTCTTTATTTATTTCTTCTCCTATCCAGCACTACTATCTAGAAACTTCAAGACGACGTTCTTCAAATATTCCATACTCATGTCTTGTCTCTATTCCATCCTCTCCATCCTCCTAATCTCTTGTTTTTCACCGTGGCTTCACTGTCGTCAAAAATTCGGCAAGGTGTTGAATTCTTTAATTGTTTTTTTTTTCCAGCTCTTGAGACCGATTTTGGTTCTGTGGCGACAAAAATAGAAAGAAGTAAGTCCGCGAATAACGCGCGAGGACAACATAAAATTTGTATCGATAAACGTATATTTGAACTACTAGCAACAATTCCCCAAGCTCTCTCGCAACAACCCAACATTTCAACCTACAATACGATGCCCAGCCCGCTTATTTGCGATCGAAGATGGAGCCGGTTGGCTCTTAGTCCTTGGCTTTCTTCCCTCGCCAATGGACTAATTGGTCGTGATTTTCGTGATAATAATTGTTTTTGAGCTTCGTGCAATTATTTGGTGCGCGAAGGGTGGAGAGTTCTTCGTCCAAGCGCTAAACATGGGATTGACGAGTATGGGAAAAGGGAAGAGATGCAATGTTCGAAGAACCGAGTGAGACGTGGATTAAGGTAAAACATGCTATTGGGCAAATAACGAATAAACATATGGAATAATGTCTATGCAGCTATGTAAGATATTATTACAACTAATTACATTATCTATTTGTTGTAGGTCTCCGGCCTCTTCTTGTTTCTTTATAAGACTTGTCTGAACTTGACCCGTTGCTTTTCAAGCTCTCTTCAAATTCTCGTATGCCTGCTTCATGTTTCTGCTCAGCCGCATGACTTCAACTTGGTTCGCTCGATACGTCTCAATACACCAATCTTCTCCACCATCTTCCCTCTGAAGCATCTTCAACAATCCTTGAGTTTTTACAACCAATTCGGCGTTTCGCCTAGCCGACCGCTACGATATTTGCAACTCCTGTTCCGAACGGACATTCTTTAATACTAGCCTAAGTTCTCCCTGCTGCTTCTTTGTAAATCGGATGTTTTTACATCGGTTATAGCGTTGTATTATTATCTGGATATATTTTTTTTCGCGTCCATAAAAGATCAAGTCATGTGAGGCTGGTAGACTGATTTCTTGTATGCTAATAAAACCCTGGTATACATTGCAACTTCCATAGTCAATTGATCAACCGACTCTACAATAAGGAAAAGTGCATGATTACATTGATCTGTATACATACAGTTTTATTCAAGAAGAGGAGCCCCGATTTACTTTCAATTCATTGGCTGTTGTATTAAATGCCTGGTTCTCTGTCTTAACGTTTCCATTGTTTCATTCTTTACACCGCACACTTGTCCCATGTTCTTGATTCACCAACACTCTGCCGACCACATTAACCACAATCATAATCATTTGATCATCGGGTTCTTCTTTCAACTTGATCAGACTTTGCAAATAGCGTTTCTAATGTTACATGAAAGCGAATATGGGATAATCATGATTTTACGATTAGCTAGCATATAGCGCTTTCTTGTATATTGTTTTTTTCCATACGACTTACCTCTTGCACTTCTAACATTCTCTTTCTTGCATTTTCGTCATTAATATACTGTTCAATCTTTCATATCTCTGTCCTAATATTAGCGCCAGAAATCCGGTTTATCCGAGTAGTCCACCACATAGCGGGTATACGGAATTGCCATAAAAATGAAAGCAATGGAAGAAGGCAGACAATTGAATTCGTAACTGTATATAGAGAAGTGCGCGGATAGAAAGTTGTCTCGACGAGAAGTCTTTTGATAATCATTGCAGAAATAAGTCACGTGCAGATTCATTATTGGAGCGAATAATATTAATTAATAATATTAATATCACGATTCGTTCAAGCAGTGAGCAACAATTTTGGATGGTAACGCTTCTAGGGGGTGAGATAAAGAAACTTGAAAGTTTACCGGAAACATTTAGCATGTAAAACTATAGACAACGACAGTAAGCAAAAAGTAAACCTAGTTATTATGACGACAGCCAAGTCATGTCGCTATCGTAGTTTAACGAATCGAGTATTCTTATTGCGCGTATGTTCCGAATAGTAATACTTGCCAATTCAAATGCACAAAAAAAATTGTCGCAACTCATTAGGCGGATATAGTTGATATCGCCTGAACCTCTACTTATAGCTTACTTATAATGCTGATGTTTTCATTGCTACAGTTCTATGAACAGTTATAATCGTCCATACGGCGTTGGGACATAAAAAAGAATTAATATTGAATTGAGAACTAATCGTAATAGCTCACAAGACCATGCTATATTTGAACCACGTTTAATTCTCACTTGTGAAGGTATACGTTTTTTAATAATTATAAGAATGAAGCACAACGATTCCTCGAACAATGTAATTATTGATTTGTGATATAAAATTTATCACCCGGTAGGCCCAACGTATCCAAGCTCCGGTATCTGTGGTAACCAATAGTCTGTAAAATATTTCGTCCGCCGTTGGAAGGAGCATTCATCTCAGTAATTAATAGGAATTCTGCAAAAGCACCAGGAAAGCAATACATGTTCAAAAGTTAATTTAATAAAAACATTGATGATTACTATAACAATGGGTCTCTCTCATAAACAACCTCTTGTTGTTTAAGATTAAGAAAGACATATACAAGGACAAATATCTTTCTCACATTCGAGTTGTAGCCAACATCTGGTTAAAGTCAGCAGCCGACATCCTGCCTAATACTAATTGAGTATGTTCTACTTTCGTAACAACATATCCGGTGCCTGTGGGATCGTGCGTAAAAACATACGAAGTAGATGAATTGTTGATCATACCAAAACAATTATCTGTGGGACCGTCGTCGTTCATCGCATCGGAATAAATGTTGGTAGAGCCATATAATGTTTGAAAAGATACTGGGAGCGGACAAGAGCTGTTTGAATGAGTTTCGGCTTGATCGGGATTCGAATTCAACTGTCCATTAATGTGGGTATAATAAGAATCTGAGGGATAGTCTTGATATGATGCATAATTGCCCGTATAATCCCCGGTATTTTCGCAGTCCATAGCATTCATAGTATTAAACATCACATCGACATTATCGGAGAGAGAAACGGAGGCAACAGAAGGAAGGAAATCTTGAGTATGAGATTGGTGACTTGGAAGATTGGCGTCGTCAGAATTAACGTCTTCCGGGTAAGTCGATTGACAAATGTTGTTGTAATGTCCGATATAATTGTTCATATTATTCGGTTCACTCATTGTATCAACGTTATCAGGAGGAGAGTGCACGACGAAAATATTGCGTTCTGAATTCTTTATTTTAATAATTGAGCTTCGTAGTATTTATATATAGTATTTATGTTATATATTATATGCATATACTCTAATTATTTGACCCCCCGCTCCGCTCATATCTGCATGACAATGTTTACGGCAAAAAGTAGTTCCTCGTAATACCTAGTTCCCAAAGACCACACTTGTATACCTCAGTATAAGTGAACAATACTGGTTTCTTTACGTTAATACAGTAATATTAAACTCAAACGACGACAACCGTATGACGGCAAAAAGTAGTTCCTCGTGATACATAGTTCCCAAAGACCACACTTGTATACCTCAGTATAAGTGAACAACACTGGTTGGTTTCTTTACGTTAATATTAAACTCAAAGGACAACAACCGTATGACGGCAAAAAGTAGTTCCTCGTGATACCTAGTTCCCAAATACCACCTCAATACCGTATGACGGCAAAAAGTAGTTCCTCGTGATACCTAGTTCCCAAAGACCACATACAAATATTTTTCGTTTGGAGAGTTTAGTGTAATGTATTTATGTTATATGTTATATACATATATAAAAAAACTGAGGGACATTAACGTTAACATTGTACGGAGTGACATTTTACTTGTATACCTCATTTCTATTTTAAAATTACTCAAAAGCGTGCCGATCGATGCCATTAATAGATTTTTCGACAACAAAGGGGGGGTTGTTTGTTTAGTGTAGTATTTATACATGTATTTATGTTATATTATATATGGTGCACCAACTCTATACTCGACAATAAAACCACCTGTCTTTAAAATCTTTCAGCTCAACGCAGAAACGTTTTTTTTAGAAAATCTGCCAGTAATTATGTTTATTGTGATATGCTTCACAAAGTTACTGGCTGGTTTGTCATAAAAATGTCTCTACGCTGAGTTGAAAGGTTTTAAAGTCGGAGTACTTTTTATAATAATACATGAGCTCTCCGAAAAATTGAAACATAGATAGTGGAAGCCAATTGGTGATCTGTGTAACCTGTGTAACGTGAGATTTGGTAATTGACGATGTGATTTATACTTCTTTACCGCCCATTCAGCTATTCTTCCTTCTAAGCCTTTATCGCATGCATCCATATACCTCCATGACTTTCTTGCAAATTTTCGGATTGTTGTAATGGGAATACTATTCAGTACTTCTGGGATTACTCTTACCAAATCATCGTATTTATAACTACATCTCCTTATTTCCCGTTTTGCATATCCCCAGTATCTTTCAATAAAATTGGAACTTTGGATACTTTTTCACATATATGATTAGATGCAATTGTCACTTCTTCTAATGCAGACTTCTGCTCTAAAAAGTCTGGTTGGCATGACAAAATTCGTCTTGCGCAGCAGTTCGGATCCTTTTCCATTTTACCAGAACATTGAGTACAGACAAGTCTAACTCTCTCTGCTGGCCACAATCCATGCTCAATTAATACTATTTGGATTCCTTTTGGTTTTTCCCTCAACTCAACATCAGCATAGCATCATCACCAAAAACCTTTTTTTGAGTCGACGTTTATTAAGACGAGGCATTTTATGGATGATTATAAAACTTATCAGTTAGTGTACTATCAATATCAATGCGATTTATGGTATAACTAACGATTTGTGTTATATCACATGATATTAAATTGTCAGATTTTATTGGGCGGGTTTTCCGTTACACTGCATCTAAGAAATGAAAAATTGTCTTGGTGCACCATATGTTGTTGGCTTATATCCGGTGTAACTAAAGTAGTTCCTCGTGATACCTAGTTCCCAAAGACAATCTGAAACTAACCAACGGGGTTAGAGAATAGAATCTGATTCAGCTTCAGCCGGATTTCAGCATAGCTCCCACATTTAATTAATATTTTCTTTTGGAGAGTATTATTGCATCTCTCATATGACGTATCACATTTAGATCAACCAAACAGAAGCGACGATTTCCTCGACTTAGCAATGCCACACACAGATTGAGGTTGTCCCCCATCTCCCCTCCCATCACATAATTACGAACATCACCAAGTTGCGGATTAGGAAGTCACGTCCGATATTTTTAAGTGTGAAAAAGCAATTAACTAGAAATGAACTAAAGGAAAATTTGTTCGATCTCATTGTCAAGCGGAGAGAAGTTAAAACGTCATATAAAAATCGGCCAATCATAGGTTGCGTTTGATCAAAGCTCCGTGATACCTCATGGGATGGATATGGCCTAAGTTGAAAAAGGTAATAATGCCATAATCACAATCACGGATTACTGTGATTTATACAGAATTCATAAACCTCACTTTATTTCGAAACAAACCACATTCTCTTTATTATTTCTTATCCTACCTCCCTTCTCCAGCACCACTCTCTAGAAACTTCAAGACGACGTTCTTCAAATATTCCATACTCATGTCTTGTCACTATTCCATCCGATCCATTCTCCTAATCTCTTGTTTCACCGTGGCTTCACTGTCGCCAAAAATTCGGCAAGGTGTTGAATCTTTAATTGTTTTTTTCAGCTCTTGAGAAGAGATCGATTTTGGTTCTGTGGCGACAAAAATAGAAAGAAGTAAGTCCGCGAATAACGCGCGAGGACAACATAAAATTTGTATCGATAAACGTATATTTGAACTACTAGCAACAATTCCCCAAGCTCTCTCGCAACAACCCAACATTTCAACCTACAATACGATGCCCAGCCCGCTTATTTGCGATCGAAGATGGAGCCGGTTGGCTCTTAGTCCTTGGCTTTCTTCCCTCGCCAATGGACTAATTGGTCGTGATTTTCGTGATAATAATTGTTTTTGAGCTTCGTGCAATTATTTGTTCTTCGTCCAAGCGCTAAACATGGGATTGACGAGTATGGGAAAAGGGAAGAGATGCGATGTGTTTGAAGAACCGAGTGAGATGCGGATTAAGGTAAAACATGTTATTAGGCAAACATATGGAATAATGTCTATGCAGCTACGTAAGATATTATTACAACTAATTACATTATCTATTTGTTGTAGGTCTCCGTCCTCTTCTTGTTTCTTTATAAGACTTGTCTGAAATTGACCCGTTGCTTTTTAAGCTCTCTTCAAATTCTCGTATGCCTGCTTCATGTTTCTGCTCAGCCGCATGACTTCAACTTGGTTCGCTCGATACGTCTCAATACACCAAACTTCTCCACCATCTTTCCTCTGAAGTATTTTCAACAATTCTCGAGTTTTTCCAACCAATTCGGCGTTTCGTCTAGCCGATCTTTGCAACTCCTGTTCCAAACAGACGTTCTTTAATACTGGCCTAAGTTCTACCTGCTTTGTAAATCGGATGCTTATCGTTGTATTATTTTTTTTTGCGTTCAAGTCATGTGAGGTTGGTAGACCACATAATATTTCTTGTATACTAATAAAAACTGCAACTTCCTAGTCAATTGATCAACCCAAGGAAAAGTGCGATCTGTATACATACAGTTTTATTCAAGAAGAGCCCCGATTTACTTTCAATTCATTGGCTGTTGTATTAAATGCCTGGTTCTTCTGTCTTAACGTTTCCATTGTTTTTTTTTTGTGCCATTTTTTACACGCCCATGTTATCTATATTACATCACACTATACTCCTGACTCACCACTCTGCCGAATTCTTAAACCACAATCGTAATCATTTGATCATTTGTTCTATCTTTCAACTTGATCAGACATTGCAAATAGCGTTTCTGATGTTGTCTTTAATACATGAAAGCGAATATGGGATATTAATATCATGATTTTACGACTATTACAATTCCAAAACTAGACAATTTTCTGCATAAAGCACTCTCTTTCACTTCCAACATTCTCTTTCCTGCCTTGCATTTTCGTCACTAATACTCCCCAAACTTCTCTTCATTATTTATTTGGGTCTTTATTAATGTAGGAAATGGGTTGGACGCGACTTTAAAAAGAATTTACTTCTTGTGTGTAAATATTCGGTTATACAACGGATTTACTGTATTAAATCAAGTGACTATGTATTATCCTTATTATTATTTGTTTTGATGATATATGACAGGACAATTGCCTATCAACATTTCACAGCAGCTGTAGTGTAATGTCATATTCATCATATGAGTGTTATTGGTTCTGTTTCATATGCTTGTCACACCGTCGCCTATGAGTCACTCAACTTCGTTTTCGTCAATTATTACCATAAAAATTCTTATTGATATTAAACTAGTCAAAACACCGTTAAACTTATCAAATCATCGTGAATACGACTTTCTTATGGTACGTTATAATTTATTACGACACGCGGATGTACGCCCAACAGTGTTACAATTCAGTATACTGTTCAATCTTTCATATCCGGCGCATTCTCTGTTCTAATAATTTCAAGCATGTCCTATAATCAATCGATTACTTTAGCACCAGAAATCCGGTTTATCCAAGTAGTCCACCACACGGGTCTACGAAATTGCCATAAAATGAGGAGCCAAAAATTGAATTAGTAGACTGATGGATAAGTCCTCGACTGCTCTGGCCATCTGGAGATATAAACCATAATTGATCTAATGGTCGACGGTAATCATTGTAGAGAGAAACCACGTGTACATTTCGTTTAGTACAAGCAATTGGAAAATGTTATATTATTAGGGATAACGATAAAGGAACTTGGAAAGTTTATGGGAAACATTTTAGAAAATTTCTTGTAAAACGTAAAGACAACGATAGTTTTGAACAGTTTGTGAAGCACTTCCCCGACAATCATTTCCTCGACAAATGTTCATCAACATTATTTCGAAACTATCCTTTTTTGGTAGTTAATTGTCGGGGAAATGAACTGCGGGGAAGTTGATTGTCGGGGGAACATGCTAGATTAATATATATTTGGATCACGTTCGTTGGTGAAGGTATTTTTAATAGTAATAAGAATGAAGCACAACAAAAGGAACGATGCTTCGAACAATGTAATTGTGATATAATTTACCGCCGGCAGGCCCAACACGTCTAAACTCCGATATCTGTGGTAACCATACTCAGTCAATAGTCAGCAAAATATTCCCTCCGGCGAATTTAACTGTTGGGAAAATTCATCTCAGTAATTAATAGGATTCTGCTTTATTCTTTATATCCGTAAAAACATCAGGGAAGCAATACATATTCAAAAGTTAATTTAATAAAACATTGATAATTATTCATGACAATGGGTATTGATACGATACGAAACCTCCCTCATAAACAAACCCTTGTTGTTTAAGACATATACAAGGACAAATATAATGAACTATCTTTCTCACGTTCGAGTTGTAGCTAGCATTTGGTTAAAGTCGGCAGCTGACATCCTGCCTAATACTAATTGAGTATGCTCTACTTTCGTAACAACATATCCAGTGCCTGTGGGATCGAGCGTAAAAATATACGAAGTAGATGAATTGTTGTCCATACCAAAGCGATTATCTGTGGAACCGTCGTCGTTCATCGCATCGGAATAAAGGTTGGTAGAGCCACAGAATGTTTGAAAAGATCCTGGGAGCGGACAAGAGCTGTTTGCGTGGGCTTCGGCTTGATCGGGATTCGGTGAATTCAACTGTCCATTAATGTGGGTATAATAAGAAACTGAGGGATTGCCTTGATATGATGCATAATTGCCCGTATAATCTCCGGTATCTTTGTAGACCATAGAGTTCATAGCAATAGACGTCACATCGACATTATCAGAGAGAGAAAAGGAGGCAACGTGAGTATTGGCGTCATCAGAATTAACGTCTTCCGGGTAAGTCGATTGACAGATGTTGTTGTAATGTCCGATATAATTGTTGTTCATATTATTCGGTTCACTCATTGTATCAACGTTATCAGGAGGAGAGTGCAGGACAAAAATATTGCGTTCTGAAGTCTTCGATTTTAATGATTGAGCTTCGTAGTATTTATATATGTTATATAATTATAAACTTTTTATATTGCATACCTAATCTATAATTTCCCGATAAGGCAGCGGCTGATTAGAAAGTTCATTTTGTGCATGTTCAAGATCATGCAAACTGGTCACAAGATAATTAAATCGTAGTCATGGATTTTTTATACTGTATAATGTACATTAAATAATATATATTCTTTGTATATCTATTTAAACCTAAGACTCCAAATAAGGACAAAAAGACCAAATTAAATTTCGAGTCCAGGATGAGGGGATGTTGAAGAGGGCGTTATGGGCATTTATTGAGTTTCCTGATTGATGTGATATCTAATGTTGTTATACAAGTACGTATGTATGTTCGTCGATCTTTAAGAATATTCAATGGTATTCCACTGGTTGACTCTGGAATTGCGGAAAAATACATAATTCGTATATTAATAATAAATTTACAGATATTGTTGGTCGTCAGTGAAAACTATCCGTTTCCAGTTGTCATTTAGGTGTTTTTAGCCCATATTCCTTTGTAAGCATATAGGAGTGGGCTATTTTTGTAACCACGTTCAGCCAAATGCCGTCCATATTACTATGTATGCGAGAGACTACAGTTTCTTCCTCCTTCAATTTACCAGCAATTAATTTAGTAGAAACGGGAGCATTAGTATCAGTTATAATTCTTTTACGGCATTCCCAATACAGTATATTGTTCTCATTGGAATCTTGGTCAATAATTGTATTTTTGGGCTTCACTTATTCCCTCTCTTAATAATACAATACACCATCGGACTCCATTATCGTATATTTAAAAATTTTATAATACAAAAAGACAAAGGATAAATAAGGCGTTGGCTAAACAGTGCGCTGATAATTGTCAAACGTAACACCTTTAAACTAAACATCTGTTGACATCAGCACATTCCTTTATTTCATGAGAATCGCGTTATTTAATAATGTATGAATCAAGATCAACTCTTACTCCTCCCGAAACAGTCATTGCGGCGTCGTCCCCGCTCACACCCCAGTCCAACACTGTCGATCATAAAGCGTCTAAGCCCGGAAGATCAGTCGCTCTTAACAACCCCACCGTATCCTCTAACACTCTGTCTCGAGGAACTGGAGCGCCAGGCACGAAACCACGAAAGTCTAGACGTAAAGACGACACTCCTTCCAGACCTCAGAATGGGTTTATTATATTTCGAAAAGATTGACTACAATTGATCTATCCTGATGGAACATTTAACAGTCAGATAATCTGCAAGAAGGTTGGAGAGGAATGGAGACGTCAACCACCCATTGTAATATCAATTTTGTTTTGAGTAAAGCGCGAAGTAGGTTGAAAATTTAATCCATCCATTACGCGTCATTTTGCTATATAAAGAAAGGTTCGGTGCAAGCTTTGATATATCCCTATGGGACTTATTATCACTAAATACAACCGACGAAACAATCTAGAATTTGTTTTCGAATTTATGACTTATTTTTAGCCGCAAAAAAAATGCCCAACTAAACTAGATCCATACGTCATGCTTAACTATATCAGTTCGGAGTGGACGCTTTCACTTCGATTCGACTGTAAACACTGCGACTTTGATATTCAAAAATTCGGCCGACTTATTTCGATCTCTATCTTTTTTCAACGTTCCCCTCGTTCTTCGCCTACCTCCCATTCTCCAGTGCTACTCTCCAGAAACTCCAAAACAACATTCTTTAAATAAGCTGATTCAACAATAGCATCCCACCGGGCGGTCAGGAATTTAGTTCCTTTGATAGTATAGGGAGTTGCACCGATGATTACTGCTGTAGGTGAGAGGGCAGCTCTAAGGGCAGTGAGACCTCTTCTCGGGTGCAATGGGTACTCAATACTCGTATCTTGTCTTTTTTCCAACCGACCCATTTTCCTCATCTCTTCTTTTAACACGTTCTCTTGCTCTTCGAGTCGTTTCACCGTCAAAAGTTCAGCAAGGTGTCAAGTTTTTAGCACTTGTTCTTTTTCAACTCTTGGGAAGAGACCGATTTTTGGTTCTGTACCTGAAAGGTCCGAAAGTGAAGCTGGAACGACAAGAATGGAAATAGAAAGAATCCATAAATAACGCGCAGCATAACACAAATTTGTGTCAGTGTTGATAACTTATATTTGAACAACTAACAACAATCCCCCCGGCTCCCGCAACACCCAACATTTCAACCTATTAGTCCCTCGTTATAAGAAACTTACAATACGACGCCCAGCCCACTTATTCGCGATCGAAGGTGGAGCCGTTGACTCTCAGCCCTTGGCGTTACATGTCTTTCTTCTCTCGCCAATGGACTAATTGGTCGTGATTTTCGTGATAATAATTGTTTTTGAGCTTTGTTCAACTGTTCGGTGCTCCCGGCGCGAAGGGTGGAGAGTTCTTCGTCCGAGTGCTAAAACTTTATTAGTAAAATTTACACCACTCACTATACAACTATATATGGATTGCCGAGTATGGGAAAAGGGAAGAGATGCGATGTGTTTGAAGAACCGAGTGAGACGTGAATTAATGTTGGTCAAAACTTAAGGCAAAACTGTTATTAAACAAATAACGAATAAACATATGGAATAATGATATGTATAGATATTATTACAATTAATTACCTTATTTATTTGTTGTAGGTCTTCGATCTCTTCTTGTTTCTTTATAAGACTTGCCCGAACTTGACCTGTTGGTTTTCAAATTCTCATTCATGCTTCTGATCAGCTGCACAACTTCAAGTTATGTTACGTTCCAACCATCTTCCCTAACACATTCCTTTCTTCTGAAGTATCTTCAACAATCCTTGAGTTTTTACAACCAATTCGGCGTTTTGCCCAGCCGATCGCTGCGATCTTTACAATTCCTGTTCCAAACAGATGTTCTGTCGGATATGCGAAATAGTTCTTTCTCAGCAAGTTTTAATTTTTCTTGCGTTAGTCGGAGTTCTACTAATTTGTGACTAGAGTATTAGAAATCGATGGAGGAAAGGAATAATATTAGAGTGGGTACGGCGGAATGAATTATTTCTTATATCATCCACGGTCGTAGGAACGATGGAACGCAAAAATCTGAATAATAACTAACCCTCTTTCCATAACCAAATGACAAACTCTTTGATACTAACCCAAGTTCTCCGTGTAGCTTCTTTCTAAATCAGATGTCTTTGCATTGGTTATAGCCCTTATCATTGTATTAGTATCTGGATTTTTTTTTACATATGCTCGCTGTTTGTCTGATTAAGTTGCTGGGTCGTTTGACGATGTTTTGATTCCTGTCCAACGATAATAATCAGTAAAAGGTTCAAGTCATGTGAGGTGTTGGAGGGCAAAGGAGTGCTGAATTACCTCTAACAATGATAAATGTGCTAACAGATAACACATTTGTTCGATTTGAGTTGTTATACATTGCATCCATTGTCAATTGATCAACCGAGTCTCATCTAGCTTATGCTACAAAGCACTTATTCAATGTTTCTACTGTAGCCTGAAATGAGCAAGCCGACTCAAAACATTAAAGAATATCAATGTTTCGGCCGCTCAATATCACGCTCTTCTTGTTTCTCTCTTCCATTCCTCACACGCACACTTATCAGTATATCACAGTATCCTTACATGTTACATTCATTGTAATTCAAGATTCTTCTGCGGAATCTCTAATGCTATATTAAATCACAATTATAAATCGTTTTCACGTTCTCCGTCCCTGTCTTTTTCTTTGAACTTGACCCATCCTTTGCGGATGGCACGGATGGTGCTGTTAGCGCTTCTGACGATGTCGGTTACCTTTAATATATGAGAATGAATCGGCATAAACATAGTTTTACGATTAGTTATCAAACATACTAACTAGATCGAATATACGAGGAATTATTACGATTGCAGAGAGTACGCCAGATATGAAAAAATTTGATAGGTTGAACAGTATATTAACGAAATGATGAAGTTATGGAATGTTGGAAAGAACTGTATGCCTGCTATATGCAAAAATGCCTATATACAGTGGGCTACTCGCATAAAACCGGATTTCAAGTAACCGATGACATGCTTGCAATATTAATATAGGCCAGAGCGTTGTTTTTTCAGATGCAGAATAAATCACGTGTACATTTTATCGAGAGATGATAATTGTTATCCTCAACTATATAAGGACGTCAGTCTCACATGAGGATATTAACTAATCACTATAGTAATAGGCAATTGTAGTTTAAGAACAGATAGCCACTGATCGTATGTTAAACATGGGAAATGAACCAGACCCCTCAAAAACATCAGGGAAAGCTTCACATGCTCAAAAGTTAATTTAATAAAACATTGATAATTATTCATGACAATGGGTATTGATACGAAACCTCCCTCATAAACAAACCTTGTTGTTTAAGATTACAAGAAAAAAAACCAAAAAAAGAGAATATATATAAAAAAAAGTGCGAATAAACCAATAAAAAACAAAAAAAGAACGAAAAGACAAATATAATGAACCATCTTTCTCACGTTCGAGTTGTAGCCAACATTTGGTTAAAGTCAGCAGCTGACATCCTGCCTAATTGAGTATGCTCTACTTTCGTAACAACATATCCGGTGCCTGTGGGATCGTGCGTAAAAATATACGAAGTAGGTGAATTGTTGATCATACCGAAATGTTGAGAATAATTATTTGTCGGACCGCAGTTCATGGTATCGGAATAAGGGACGGAGGGGCTGCAGAATGGTTGAAAAGATCCTGGAAGCGGACAAGAACTGCTTGCGTTGGTTTCGACTTGGTTGTGACGCGGTGGATTCAAATGCCCATTCATCATGTCCATGTTACCCATATGAGTGCAATAATAATAACTTCCAACATTCCCATGGTCCATACTGTCCATAGTAATAGACGTCATATTGTTATAGGGGAGAGTAAAGGAGGCAGAAGGTAGGAAATCTTGAGTATGAGATTGGGCTTGCAAATTAACATGCGTTTGAATTGGAGGATTGCGGTCATCAAAATTGAAGTTTTCCGGATAGGATGATTGACAGACGTTGGTATTATTATAATGTTTGGCATAACCGTTGTTCATATCGTTCGGTTCGTTCATTGTAACAATGTCATAAGAAGGAGGAAAGTACATGAGAAAAGAATTGTTGTCCTGACTTTTGATTTCACATTGGGAATTCTCGTGTGGTGTTTATATACATAGTTTTTGCTTGTGTTACAGATAACGCCATTTAATTAAGATTGGTGATTGGAGCATTTTTGATTACCGTGATCTGCATATCCAGACTAGACAATTACCGTATTTTTGTTATATTTTACGTTATCCGTAATGTTATGAAATAGCTGGCCCCTCACCCTCGACGTCATATATTACTTTATTTAGTATCGCTGATTTATGATTCATCTTCACAAACGTCCTCTGCAGTTAGTTCATCCCCCCTCGCATTTTCACTACCTTCCTTCCATATTAAGTTTCTTTCTGTACCGTTGAGGTCATTAGACAGCCCACAGGTTTCAAAGGATCTCATTATAATCTCGCATGGAATATCAAGAAATGAAGGCTTATTAAAAAAACATTAAATGCTGCAACTAAACTGTATACTTTTGGGACAAACGAAATTATTAGCTGCGGGTGACCTTTTGAAAAGTATAGTTAAATGTTTGTTAGGGTTGTTCTCTCTCATCACCTCCCATTTATTCTTCATTCTTTACCTGGTGATTAGTAAACAATTAAAATACAACATCTCTGGTAATAAGTGCTAAATATGATATACCCGCCGTCCCCCCATAGTGATGATATGTAACGAATAGTACTGTATAACCAAAATTTGTTTATGAAAGTTTACGAACAAAGAACTTACTGATTTAATAATAAAAGTTTGATAATACAGATCTGCAACAAAGCATTCATGCGAGATGTTAAATTTAATTCCACTCCACTTTGCTAGTTGAAACGATTAATGTAATAATAAATAAAGACGAGAGATGTTGTAGCACCAAAAACCTGAAAATTACCGGACCCACTCTCCGAAAGAAAAAAAAAAAAAAAAAAAAGAAAAAAAAAAAAAAATAATAATAATAATAATAATAATAATTTTTTTTTGTAAAATGATCGAGACTCAAAGAAATGCCTACTGATGCAATGTAAAAATGATAACGACAATGCAATTGATACACACAACACAAGCACTCACACAGAGAGATCATACGATGTATGCAGTATAATTAATCAAGTAGCGATAAACTACGGACAGAGCGGGGGATAAGTTGAACATTTAATATTGATATACCTGCTGCATTCATTCGCTTTACTTTTCGTATCACATTAAGTAGCTTATTCGCAACAACTTAGCGTCACTTGAAATCTATGCCTCTGTTATACATTATATTTTATTGATAAGTAAACAACTGCATCAATAAAGTGTTCTCTCAACTGTACATTATTTTCTTGTAGCTTATTAAAAGTATAATGATTATCCACCTCCTCGCCACTGTCAATATTGTCACCACTCGACTCATCACCATAAATGACGAATATAGACTATCGAATAAAACATCGCCAAAAAAGTGATTACAAATTTTTACACATTTTATAGAACACTTAAAATCTTCTCAGAAGCTGACAGTTGTGTAACTATTCAAACGAATGCCCGAACATGGGCAATTGATTGAAATGGGAAAGTTGTAGCACTATCCGCCAGTATCGAATATGTATAAATCTATATCGCCTCCAAACTCAGCCAAAAGAAAAAAAATCACCCACACAACAGATAGAGAAAATATTTCTATAAACACAAAAACAAAGAAAAAAAAATACAAAAATAAGAAACCCCCCCCCCGAAACACAAGCACAAAGAAAATAATTCTAATAACATTACCAAACTTCCCTGATCCAATGACACATTAGAGAATTATCGGGTTTTTTTAAATTTCCTCCTCTCGTAGTCTCAAATTTATCCTCCGCCATCCACGTACGCTACTTCTCCCTCATTCTATCTTTAAACGGTTTGTTAATCGATACATCTAATGGTTGAACTACTGAAGTAGCCCACCTGGAATAACAGCTAAGATTTTGTTCTTGACATTTACTTTTGACAGATTGGGTTAGATGTCCTCTTTGTCCACAGACAGTATCTACCCGATCTATCATTAAGTTTTCCGTCATCAATCCATCCTCGTTCATCGCACAATCACATCTGGTGGGTAATCAAATCCCCCTTCTGTAATCTTTTACCCTTAAATATGACCATGGGAGGAAGTTTCGTGCCGTCTCCTAACACAGCAAGCACGCAAGCGAATCTGTTTTATCATTACCCGTTGTTCTTATATGAACTGTTTTCGCTCCACGATAGTCAACAGTCATCGCTCCCACCATGTCGAAAAAAACAGGCATCTCATCGAGGTTGATAATGGAACTAGGATCAAAGTTGTTTTCTGCACGGATATTTTTAATAAATTTGTGGAAGTCAGTAACTTTCTGCTGTATGTCGAAGGGCAATTTCTGGCCTATTTTAGTACGTCTACGAAGGGAGAATTCGTGTCGTCTTAGTAGCCGGTTAAACCAAGCATCGGATGCTTTAAATTCTTGTACAGCATTCGGATACTGTTCGCTGAAATCATACAAGAGCAATTCAGTCATTTTAGATTTAACTATTGATGGGGTGACGCCTTCTCTATTGCGTAAACTGACGATCCATTCTTTTAAATGGATATGCCGGTTTATTACCAGAACTGACTCTTCTACTTTTTATGTTAGCTTTTTTCAATTGTTCTTCTTTCTTTCTCCATTGCGCTATTTGGGTGTGGGTAACAGCGAACATTCGTGCTGCAACTTTATTTCCTACACATTTTGCGTACTCAATCGCTTCAATTTTGATAGTGACAGGATAACTCTTTCTCGTTTGCTTGCTCATTGTTGCGGAATACAAATCCGTAATGTCAATTATCTTGAGGTATATAATATGTGATGGTAATATCTTGAATTGCTTATGAACTATGAGAGTATTTATTACATTCTGCGTGCTACCCTACTACTATAACAGAGTGACCATAACGTAAGCAGTCGCGAGTAATCATTGCGCGATTAATCATGGCTTAACCATAACGCGAGTTATAATCATAAACGACAAATAATGCGAGAAAGGCGAGCAGTTCGTGATTATGTAATAAATAGAGATAACGCGGACAGTTACGTGACGATTCGTAGATCATTTTGCATTGTTTTTAAGGCGCAACCAAACATCTCATGAATAAGAGCCCCTTATATGATGGTGGGCCCTTATTCACGAGAGGATACGGTAGCAAATTATCGATATTATAGTCGATTTGTTGAGTTCATACTTCTTCCCCTCCTATCCATACATTATCTGGATATCATCTTCGTTAACAAGTAACCGAATTACATGTCACTTTAATTATATATCTTATCGTAAACATAATAAATGCCAGATTGGAAAAAAAAGTACATTCGACTGACAGAGACGATGCAAATTCGATCTCATCGGAATTGCGACTGCCGCCAATTTTATAATCAATCCAACACTATGTGAACGAAACACCAAAGAATATGTGAGATCAAGCATTCGTGTCCACCAATTATTTCGATATTATCTGTCAATAAGAATATTCAATCCATTGTATAGACATTATAATCAGTTTCAACTACAATTACCTCCCGTAAATGAGTCTAACGACTTGTTACTAATAATCCAATCGACAGGTCGAGGTGCTTTGCAATATCACAGTACGCATTTACCATAGGTTCGCGGGTTGTACGTACCAGACATATTAAATCATAATTTATCCTCTGCATCGTTCGTAGATAGGATCTCAATGTTCGCGATAATCTTACTGATGATGCCCATTATACAGCGAAGGACTCATAGAGATCAGTTAATAATTATTAAGACGAATCAATAAACATCATGATATAGTCATACCAAGTTGAATATTCACTTTGCACATGACAAGCCTTCACCTACAAGTGGATTTAAATAAGTATCAATAGTTGGTCACACTGTTATTATTTCTGGATTGTGGGCTAACCGGGCTCAAAATAAAGGAATTTGAAAATTCTGGGATGCATACTTGGTCCCTCAATTTAGTGGTTGGAACAAGGCAATCGATATTAATTGTTCCATGGAACATTCGTGTGTCCATACAACTTTTGCTTGATAATTCTTTTTGAATTTATCAAAGCATGCATTATCTTACATGTATAAATACGATATATTCCAAGTACGCCTACAGTTGTCGAGTACGTTTTGGATTTGTGATACTTGACAAACTCACCAGAGTCTTATCGTTAGCTGGTCCATCAACATATATTAAACCCTTTACGTCCATGAACAAGTAGAGCAGAATCCATCATGTTAGACAGCTAAATGATAATGATTACGTTTATTGCTGGAAATTGTTTATTATTCTCAAGCATTTCGAATACATTCTAGCAAACTTGTTTATAAACCATTGAAGTAGTGGATCATTTGGCTCTACGACGATCATTTCTTGGGCTATCGACGACGGTTGAAAGAATATTTAGCATTATCGGCTATGTTTTGCACAATACTTGCGTTATCGGATAGAAACGATAACAAGTTTCCCTGGAGGAAAGAACTAAGTCTATAGTATAGTTTGGAATGATCGATATACCTCTCACTAAATGCAGTGACATATTAAATGTGCAAGTCAAGCTAATATTATATTTGACCATTTCGGGGGGTATTACGAGATCATGTGAATAAATGCAGTAAACAAAGATTTCATATAAAATATAATAGCGTAGAAAGCATAACTGTTTACTTGTTTAAAATTAATATTGATACAACAATGGATATTGATATGATACCTCCAAGATAACAAAGTGGAAAGCAATAACTGACTTTACACTATTGAAAAGCTAATTAATAAAATATTATATTGATACATATTGATATAAACCCGCAAGAAACAGACATGCATTTATCATCTACACGTACAAGGACAAACATATAAAAATTATCCTAACTTTTCTTTCTCACATTCGAGTTTAGCTAACATTTCGCCAATGTCAGCAGCTAATATTACTGATTGAGTTTCCTCTACTTTCGTAACAAGAAAATATCTAGGGCTTGTGGGCTCGTTTATTACGTTAGAGCCGTTAAATGAAAGTGGTGCTTGCGTGGGTATTGGCGTAAGCATATATGAAATAGATCGATTGTTGATCGTACGGAAATGTTGAAAATGATTGTCTGTTGGACCGTTGTTCGTCATATCGGAACGATGGACGGAGGAGCCACAGAATGTTTGAACTGATACTGGGAGCTGATAAGTGTGGGTCTCGACTTGATTGTAACTCGGTGGATTCAAATGCCCATTCATTGTGTCAAGGTTACCCGGATGGATACAAGAAACCGAGGGATTGCTTTGACATCCAGTGCTTTTATAGTCCATAGTATTTATAGATGTCATACCAACGTTACAGGGAGGAAAGGAGGCAGAAGGTAAGAAATCTTGGGTATGAGATTGGGTTTGCATTTGAATTGGAGGATTAGCGTTAAAGTCCCCCAGGTAAGATGATTGACTGACATAATCGTTGTTCATATTATTTGGTTCGCTCATTGTATCAATGTTATTACGAAAAAGTCTTTGGGGTTTTTCGTGCTCGTAGGAACTATATATATTAATATAATAAATCTTTTACATTACTGTATATTGCAGTATTGTGCTAATGTGTGGGCGGCAATTTGTGGTACAGTCAACTTCCTTAATAGTCCCGCTTGAGAATTGATTACTATTGAACATAATATAAAAAAAAACAAAGCTTGAACCTTGTTGTCTCTATCACTATTTATATTATATTTACTTACTCGTTTTGGCTGTTTGTAGTACAGTCAACTTCCTTAATGGGAATTACTATTGAACATATATAAAAAAACACAAAGCTTGACCTTGTCTTTATCGTTTTGGCAGTTGTATTTATTTATTTATCATACTGTAGTAGAGATTGTAAATTGATTGGTTTCTTAGAGAATCGTATCACCTTACGCGATGTTAACCACTTCAGTAAAAAATATTAGCCGTTACTTCTTTTTCTTTTTTGCTAACAATAACGGGCAAAGCTCTCTATCGAACATCGACATCACCAAAGCACCTGCGATTGTTTTATATAATACTCCTTATTTTCTTCCTAAAGTATCCATCTGGCATATGTACAATATATCCCACACCACTATGACAATACCCATTCCGCTCGCAAATCCGTTATTGTTTGTGATGCTATCTTTACTACTAACAATATACAAATAAAAGCAATCCCTAATTGACGTTCGAAGATTCTTGATATTACTAATGTTGTACGTGAAAATTAATTATATGTTGTTTTTTTTTTCTTGCAAGGTCAATTATACATGGGTATGGCATGTGTGTATATGCAATGGAAACAGCAGTTAATATTGCATTGTTATTACAGAATCATGTGCAATAGATTAATTGTTTGATAAGGATTGTCTCTCTTGCGTTTTACCATTGCCATGTTTTAGTAGTAAATTTTAGGTGTATTTATTTAATCGTAAATTAAAAACCCGTGTTTTATTACGTTCATTGATTTTAAACTAATACCATGATATTGCATTAATACCAGATACGTTTGAATAATCTTCAAGCAGTTGTAGGAAACTTTAACTGCTTGCAGCATCGCAGCTAATTCATGCATGTCTGGTATGTTTCAACAAGGTCATCAAATGACGACAAAGATAAACTGCTTTAAGTTATGACTCTGTTGCGAATAATCCCTCATCCATAATAAGACAAAAGCATACAATAACGTCTACATTCACTACATCGTATTTAATTAGATTTCTTTCGAGGCATAGCAGCGCTATTAGTATGTAACACGTTTTCCTAATTCCCAAGCTCGGGAACAAGGCATGGCGTGCTTATATGCGTGCTTATATGTAGGGTGCTTGAATAGAGGGTTCACTGTACTGTAGTTTGGCATATTTACTTTTTCTGCCTGAAATGTCTTCACATCTTGTCAGAGTATGGTGTAGCATTTGCATACAGTAACAATATCCTCCTGAGGAGATATTATGGTCCACCATGACATCAGGCTCTTTATCATCTTGCTTCTTTCTTGGGTATATGAAGTCTCTAAATACTTCTGTGTATCACATTTTATTCATATCTGTTAAGCCCTAAGAAAATGGCCAACGCGAAGGTTAAATTTACCCAAAAAGTTGTTTCAAATATCGAACTATGTGTCCCTCACAATACAAGTACCGGTATGTTGTTTTATTGCATATAAGAAAAATTGATAGCTGGGCTAGTGAGGATAAACCGTTGCCAAGTGTTACATGTTCTACTTAATTTCACGATATATATTTTTTACCGAAGCTAGTCAACAACTAAAATATTGAAGTAAAAAAGTTTAACGTCTAGCGAAAAATCCTCCGGATCGAGGGTCCCCGAGTAATTCTTGTGACTGAAAAGACGACATTTAAGTACCTTATTACTTTGTGGATCATACTTGTTTGACAGCAAACTTGGATATTCTCGCAAGGTGGATAAAAAGGATTCATCTCTGGATCCCATATTGTAGCTTGGAACTCTCTAAACAAGACATTAATGTTATCAAGTTTAAAAAACTCGTTCTTGTCCGAGTTCATTCTAAACACACTCAGTGGGGATCCATACACAAACCAGTTGAAGAGGAAAAAACCCTATAGAGTTGATTATTAAAATAGATAAAGGTTAATTTGTGACGACTTACATAAGATGCCATTGAGTGCTTGGGAACTCTTGCGCAGTTTGAAGTTTCGCGACTATAAAAATAAAGCGACTGTTCAAATATCACGACTCTTCGTCTAACCAAATGAATATTAATCTTACCCATCTACTACCCCTTCTGTGATCCAAGAGCATGTAAGCTTTCAAAAATTCGAGCTTGATCAATCTCCAGCTGTAATCCCTATCTCGTGTCTCTTGATTGGGCAAGATCCAATATTCCCAAACTTGCCCTTTTCTTCGGCCAGACTACAACTACGAATCCGTTCTCATCCACCCTCGCCGATGTCGCGTCAGCGATGGAGTTTGTTTCCGAATTGGACAATAGTATCAGACGTAGACGAGCCAGATGAGTGAAGTAGCGTTAATGAGTCGGACGTACTTGACCCAAGACATGTTGGTGATGATTCGCGAGATGTCGAAGTTGAAGACAGGACGTCACGTAGAAAAATTGAATCTAAGTTTTAAACCGTACTGTATCATCGGTGCGAGACAAGACTCTAGTGGAAAGTCGCTTTTGATGCATTTCATAATGCTGCCGTTAGAGAGAAATGGAATCATTTGTGCATCATCATGCGAATCCGCAACACACTATATAGGGAACGGAGATAAAGCTATTGAAATAAGATATAATTGTCAATGAGAATAGCACAAAGTGGTAGACGAACACTGATAGCAGGAATGTAACGACTAAAGGCGCACGTTGCTTAATATGCCTTTCGATGAGTGTCTTTGCCCCCCAGCTTTGCTACTTACCCCTTCATACTCAATCTGTCCACTAGCATCAATCAGATCGCTTAGCCTAACAAGCACTCTCCAATTCCTAGTGTTTCATAAACAAGCTATGCTCAGACACATCTACTTTCAATGTGTCAAAACCAAGCAAGACACATGAAAAAGTCCCGAATATCGCTACAGTCCTCGCCGTCCTCAAGAGCGCAAACAAAGGTTCCATCATAATCCATTGGAAATGAAAATATCTTCTTCTTTTTTTTTTTTTTGGGGGGGGGGGGGGGGGGGGGGGGTGGGGGGGGGTGGGGGGGGGGGGGGGGGGGGGGGGGGGGGGGGGGGGGGGGGGGGGGGGGGGGGGGGGGGGGGGGGGG